TTATTTTTATTGTGTGTCTGTCAATAGGGTCAGAAAGCTTTAAGGACAAATTTAAAGGCAGAAGAAATTTTCATTGTTTGAAAATTACTTTAAATGCACATGGACATCACCTTTAGTATGGATTCCGTACTGTGGGCTTTTTCACTCTTCCTCAGGATTATGTGTCAAACAACCTGCAACTCTACATTGACAAATTCTTATTTCTCCATCCAAAGGAAATATTTATATGGTTCTCTATGTATTCCCAAATTTGGAAACTCCTCTAGCATCTATCATGCTTCCTTAGGAATCTGGTCTCACAGGGGCTTGTGTTCACTTTGGACATAAAGAAAATTGATGATTTTTTAGTGACCAGTTTAAAGCATTAGGAAACAGGGCCCTTCAGGCTTTGTTGGAAGATTTCAGTATAAGTCTTTCCTTCCGAGAAAGAATTTAGGTTTTTCCTGGTATTGTAGATTATAATATATTGTATCTTGCACATAAGCCAGATTTGATCATGAAAGACAAAAGATGTCAAAGAACTGTAACAGAATCATTATAAATCAAAGCTGTGAGTCAAACTGATTTTGTGGATTCTGGCACTTCAATGCAAGTGCTGCACATGAAGGGAAAGTATCTTGAGAATTGCTTTGGCTCTCATGTGGCAATCTCTTCACTTGAAGCAGATGGAAAAAAAGTCACTGACTTGAGTTTTTGTAAAGCTTTTGTTATTAAAGGCATTTATGCATTCTAAAACATACACAAAATAACTGCATTAGAAATATTTTGAACATATAAATATATATATTTTGAATGAAATATGAATTTATACATCTAGAGCTTTCTTCTGGAAAAAATGTCTTTTCTCATGAGGATTTAACTAACAAGATAGAACTCCATAAAGATCAATAAACTTATCAAACCCATGGCCTCACAAGCATGCCACATCTCATAAGGCATGAAAATATATCACTAGTGCACTATACTGTGTAACAGTTATAATACAATTTCAGGATGTTTATAAGAAGCAGGACTATGCGACACGAGCAGTTATTGAATTCTCAACTTAAGACATATCCCCAAACATTCCAGAGTATAATAGGATAATATATTCCCAAGATATATTCCCCTTATAGTATAACTGAATTACAGTTTTATAACTGCTTAGAGAAGAAAATATATAAAATACATTTTCAGCTAGCATTGAGAAAAGAATGGGGAAGTGAACACAGTACAGAGTAACAGGAAAGTTCACAGCAACAAGAGATTCAAAAGAAGATTGGTACCACTCAGAGGGACAAAGCAGGATCAGCATAGGAGGGAAAAAGGGCTTGAGAGAGGGAAAGAAAGTTGGAGAAGATTGGAATATGCATAAAGAGAAAAGGAACTACTGAAGTGCATCTTAAAAGGTAACAGAGGCCTGACTGAACTTATATGAAGGGATATGAGCTGTCTTTTACTTTTGCCTGTAATTTCAAATGAAAACCTGTAAGGCACTAAATTCAATATATTGCATAAAAAAAAAAAAAAGAAATCCTACCTGCACGCTTCTCTTTCTTTTTGGAATATACTTCACAAAGGAAAATAATAACTACAAGAATAACAACTTCAGCCACTATTGCTAGAAATGGTGTGAGTGGCACCATGAAGGTGAGAACTGTAAGCTTCAGCTTTCCTCTACTTTTTCCTAGCTTAAAAACAGCTTCACACCAGTATGCACCACAATCTTCCTTGGTGAGCTTCAGTATCTTGAGATGGGTTGTGTTGGCAGGTACTCGATCATTTACATATTTGTCTGACAGCAAAGATTCATTAATGGCAATCTAAAAATAGAAAAATACATTAGGAAGGCTTAATGAGAAAGTGTTTCATCAAATTATATTATCAACATTTGTAATTTTATATCAAATTCTATCTAGAAAGATGTAAAATGAATTAAGAATAAATTTCATTTGTAAAGCATACCTTTAAGGGAGGGATTTATCTTAGCTACTTACCCTACTACTAGATACTTAATTTATAATCAGTGAAGGAAAATGCACTTTTAGGGAGCAAATCATCTGACCTACCTTGCTTAATTCATTTGGGATGAGATGAGATACCTTTGTTGATTCTCCACTGACAAAGGCAGCCTTACATATTAAGATCTGATGACCAGGGTTTACCATAGGACAAATAATACGCTCTAAAAGAACCGGAACGAGGAATGCCCCTGCACTGGGAAATGAGTCGGTATTGCCTCAAGAGTCAGCGCTGTGAGGGTAGTGCAACATTTTCCCTCCAGCAGTATAGAGGAGGCCACATCTATTTACCTCCTCTTCACAGATGGTGCTTCTCCCACTAGAGGCCTAGAACAAAGCGGCCCTGCTGCCAAGGCTAAGGGGGATCCTAGGAGTGAACCTGCCAAGCTTTCCACAGCCTTCAGCAGGCAAGAGCTGAGAAGGTTACACACTGGTCTCCTCCATAGCATGACTTCTTTCAGGCCCACTGCCTCAAAGAGGTCACATTGGCTCGGAAACACACGTTAGTTAGGAGAATAAGGAAGAGGAGGCACATGTTTAGGTTCCCCCACTTTAATCTTACTAACATCTTGTCTAAAAAGCGTTCTGCTATGAGATTGCCTGCTATCAATGAACAAGCTTCAAGAAATATAGCTATTATTAATATAGGAAAAACAAATACCTCAAGACTAATCCGATTTGTTTTATTCTTATCTGTCTGTAATTTTCTTAGGGAAGGAACTTGGGAAGAGAACGAAGCTCCCTTCTTCAAATACAAACCAGAATGATCCAAACACTACACCTTTATGATAACCAATACTTCCAAATGACATACATGACATTTTTTTTTCCATGTACAGAGGTTTACATTAACATTGATGGAAATGCAATTTTTAGAACCTACAGCTAGAAGCCGTTACACCTTACAAATTGTTTGTACTTGTTTATTGCCATATTATTTTGTTTGCCGAAAAGACGTGAATCTTACCTATTCACTTCCGTTGGTCAGGTACCAGTTCCAAGTGATGGGAGTATAATTTGAACTTTTACACATCCTCACAACTTTATCTCCTTCATAACTAATTATTGTTTTTTCTTTTCCTTCTATTTTTGGTACTAAGAACAAGTAGAAAAAAAACCAGCATGTAAGAGCTACAGTTTTTAACTACAATATTAGAAAAGATCAAATAAATCTGATCCATTTCTTTTCATTGAATAACTCATGGATAGCTATGTCATTTGGGAATCATGATTTAATGAAGAGCCATTTCAGGCTGATGTCCTTCATACAGAATTTCTGCAGAAGGCCACGGGAATCCTGTTTTCAGTAGCCAATCTTGAAAATTAAATGAGAATCAGATTGTGGCAGTTTTTCCTCTGTACCCTCTACAACAGCTGTAAACTACATGTTTCAGTTCTACTGAATTTGAAATGAACTTTTTTTTTTTTTTTCAATTTTACTCTATCTGCAAAACTGACATCTATTCTAGCTGTAATGTTATCAGCAAGTTGCATGCGCAGAGTGTTCTTTTTTTAAATTAACTAAGACAAACTGCATAATGAGAGAGTTGGGAGTTTTGTAGCTGCATATATTTTCTTTTCTGCAGGCATGAGTAAAAGTTTAATCCTTCTTAAAATCTGCAGGGTTGTGCTGGGCATGGATGGGGGGGCAGAAGCCAGGGGGAGAGGGGTGGCACACATCCAAAAATACCTAGCTCTTGCCTAGAGGAAATACCTTTGCAATAGGTGGTTAACTGTGATGATGATTTTAGCCACTGCGTATAGTAAAAAGCTCTACCAACATGTTAGTCATCAGTGGGAGAATCATTCTCACTATATGAGAATTCTGATGGGAAGACTCAAAGCTCTCCTTCCCACTTTCTTTACACTATTAATCCTGAAAACTGGCAAGCCATCACTTTGTGTAGCATCAGACAGGGCTGCATTTGACCAACGCTAAGCAACTCTCCCATCTTACAGTAAGTTAGCCAATTCTACACACGGAGCTCTCAAAAAAGCAACTTCCCTATCGATAAATTCTTGCCCTTATTAAAGTAGCTACTTCATGCTTTCAGAGAATAAGGCTTCCTTTGACTTAAAATCCAAACAAAAAACTAGACTTGCATAGCTGTTCAGCTAAATCTTACCCAAATGTTGACAAGAAAAATACAGAATCATTTTTAGAAATGAAAAGGTCTGAATAAATTAGTACAATTCTGCCTTTCCACAGTATTGCCAGCTCGTCTCCTCTGGCTGAAGGTTTGAAAGCAGATGTCAGCATTGCTATCTAAGATGTAAACATACATGAGAGTTTCCTAAAGATGCATGACCAGGTACTTGTCGGGACGGACAGGGATACATGCTATACGTAAGCTTTTATTGATCAAGCAGGTACAGTACTTCAGACCCCACGCTCGCGCGTGCACATGCATGCACTCTCTCCCCCTCCCGAGTCCTTCTTTTATATCCTTCATCCTCATCATGGCTGCATGTTGATTCATGATTGGCTGTTCCGCTTTGTTCCTCTTTGTTGGCAACTTCCACGTCTTCACTTCCTTTAAGTTGTTTACTTGCTGCAGTCTGGGTTTTTTCAATCTTGTTCAAGGACATGGTAACTTGAGAAGATCCCAGCTCTCAGACAAGCTGAAGGCCGTTTGACCAGCTCTCCATCCCCACAGGTACTCTGCTGAACAAAGCCAGCTTGCTGCACTGAGAATTACAGAGCCCTACTTTCACTGATCAAATGCCTGCCTTGATTACTTGGTTGTTTTTTTGTTTTGTTTTGGGTTTTTTTTGCAAAAACTAGACAACAAGACAAGCAAAGGAGAATAGTTCCTGTACAAGCTGAAGGTTCTCAGCAGCCTTTTTTAAGTCAACTGCATTTCACCTATTATTATCCATGGTGAAACTAGAGCAGAAGAAAGGAGTAGCAGGGGAAGGGAACAGAAGGAAGATCCAGGTGCTCAGCTCTTCTCTCATACTACCTAGTGAGGCACATTCTACCTGAATACATAGCATGTTCTTATATGTGTTATGAAGGTGCACTTGAGCAGTTATTTGTTGATTCAGAAATAACTGATTTTCCCCACCAAAAATGTGCCTCCATTCTACCAGGCATCATTGATCTTCTCTTAACACCAAATCTTCTCAGTCCAAGTTTTCAGAAATCACATGGCTTTGCTTTTTAAATAAAAGATCTGAGATTCCTTTAAAAGATTTTTGTTGTTGGATGTTCCCCCTCCTCCACCCCAGAAAACTGGAGGGACAGGGACGAAACCAGTTCTTCCTTTAGAAGGATGTAAGCTTACTTGCTCCTTTGACCGTTATCAAATTTTGATAAAAAGTGCTTTTGAGTTTTTCTTTTGAAGTTTTTGTTCCCTCTCTCCAGGTTACAGAAATGGCATTTGATAGAGATTCCCATTTAGTTTGACTCCATTAGCCACTGCTTATCAAACTAAATTGCAGTTTCCATACTATCCAGAAATGCTATTAATGGAAGATTTCAATGGAAAAGTGAAATAGTAAAATTTAACAGGACTTGCCTTGTAAATGGAACACAGCTTTGAATTCTTCTTTACCTTTAAGAGTACAAGTGTAACTTCCCAATTCATTTTCATTTGTGACTGTCAATCTGAAATATAAGAAGCTTCATCGTTTTGCTCTTTTGTTTATAATTCTTTGCTGTTAGACACCTGTAGTAGTTATAGAGAAGCCAGAATAGATCAGCAGTGTAACACAGAACATACATGTTTGAAACACTAGGATTCAGGTTTCATGCGATCTAGAAACAGCATGACATTTTTAGGGAAAAAAGAAAGAACGGCACATGGTTTCTCCAGAATATGAACACCTTTTTCATCCTTATTGCTCACTGACACCCATAGAAGACAAGATGTCTTTTAAGAAATATGATCCAATAGAACAAAAGTATTTAATTGAATGTAGCTTTACCTTGTGAAATTTATAGCATGAGCTATGAAGGACATGAAACCAGATACCTTAAACAGTCTGTGCTTTCTCAAAGCCTTTCGGTCAATTGGTTAATACCAACACAGCACAATTTTAAAGAACTGCCATCCAATAATTTGACTGCAGAGGAAATGCTGGACTCCATCTACTTCACAGGCACTTTGAAGAAAGTTTACATAGGCTGTGCATATGAAATAGAAGAACAATGCTACAATGTCCCCATCTTTTCACCGTAGAAATTTTATATGGACATTACTGATATTAAGAAACTGAAAATATACAGAAATCAACATGAGACTTCCTGGTTAATATTAGGCCATTTACAGATTTTCAGAATCCAATATTAAAATGTATAAATAAAGAATATTCTCTACAACATTGCTAGAGACTCCATAGAGGAAGAGATAAGAAAAGCTTTACGACAATTTAAATATTCTTTTGGGAAAAGCTGAATCCTTCTTCTCTTTTCATTTTGTTGACAATGTAGACAAACTGACCAGTGATGCCTTTCAGAGAGTCTTCTGAAAGGCATAGCTTACTGGGGGGAGAAAATGGTGAAAAATAGGGGAGTTAGCGATGCAGCAGGCAGAGATCACTACTTCAACTACTGAACAGAATTGCAACATAGAAGAATCAGATCCTTATCCTATCCTGCTGTATGGAAGAATGCTGTTTTTTCCAGCACTAGAAGAAAGCAGGAGCTCTTCCTCCAGGCTCAGGGTAATTGCAATCTTCCTTCTTTTCCTTCAGTTTAAATATGCTAATTACAGCCATCAATTTAGCAAATGCATTTGGTTTCTACTCTTTTCCAATATACAACATCATTAGTTCTGGGCTGTGTATACACACGTGGTATAATTCACCAGAACCTGCAAGTCAAACTGCCAAGAAGGCTACTTACTGGATGCTCCAGCTATTTTCAGTTTTATTGATGTGCTTGATGGTTTCATTTCCCTTCTTACAAGCCACTTGAACAATTTTCAAATGAGGATATTTACTGGCCAGGCTGCATGACAGCTCACCATTAGCTGGGCTGTCCAAAGTGATATGTTTTTCCACAGAAGTACCAGAAACACCTAACAAGGGAAGAAAAAAAAAAAAAAGGAAACATCATTTTCATTTTAGGGGAAGAAAATTCTGAAAGATTGTGTTTGAGATGTGCTTGATTTCAGGTGGGTATGATCTGTGATTCTTACGCTTTCTGATGTTAGCAGAACTACAATGCAAGACCATCAGCCTTTCGCAACAGGTTTATAAAACATATCTAAGAGAATGGCTGAATTTGGTAATGGGCTAACACACAGACATTCATTTTACTGAAAGCAAGACTGGCCTATGCTTCTGTGTCATTTGACCCAACTCAAAACGTATTAAGTCCATAGTTCTCACCAGAAAAATCAATACCGTCTCATTATGCTTACTGTTTAAGTTTTCTTTTTGATTGCACTGGTATTAAAAAAGCAAAATTTAGCAATAATGGAACAAGTCAATGCTATTGAATGAAATACATTACTATTGTAAAAAAACATTTTTTTTTTTTACATTTCTAATGTAAAAAAACATTAGACTGGTAAATATCTCTAAGCATCTAGTCTTCAGCCAGTTTTCCTGATACCTTGAATTTATAGGTACTGCCTTATTGCCAGTGAAATACTCACCTCGAAACCGTAATCTTCAAACCCCTTTATTTATAAGGCCTTTGCCTTCTTATTAACCTACCAATAGCATTACATATAGCAATGTGAAGATTACCAAATAATAGGAAAACTGACCCTTTTATGTCTTTTAACCAGCTTGAGTATACAATATGTGCATAAATGGATAGTCTGATTCAACAGCAAGCATTCATGCTCTGATTTCTGTGAACATTTATGGAAAAGGCAAAATAAAACAAAGTAAAAATCCACTTTGTATTCTCAGATACTAACACTATTTCATAATTGGACTTTCCTTTTATGCCTTCCAGATACAGCTGTGGTTAGTCCACCTGAATACTCTACAAGAAATTATTATGGTCCCCATCCATAACCCCAGGCATATCCCTGATGGGTAAAAAAATGGGCTGTTTTTCATAGTTTAAATTCTTTAAAGTACAGCTTGCTGATTTACATATTCATGTCAAAAAAAAAATCCACTGAGTGAAGTGAAAAAACACAAGCTCCTCATATAAAATGCTTTAGGCTTTTTGGGGTCTGGCAGAGATATTTGATACTCTTGATTTGATATGTTCATGGAACAGCACACATTGAATACCAAGTCCAAGATGAAATATTATAGAATCCACTGACCTGTGCTTAAGCTTAGAGGTATAACACCTTGGTCTTTCACAGCAAAGCAAAATTGTAATCATAGCACTCAATTATTAGATCCATTATTAAACCTCAACAAGCGAGCCAAACATAACTCACCTTGTTTATTTTCCTGAGTCATTTGCAAATGAAATTAGTTTCACAATAGTGCAAGTTTTTGCAGTCAGATTAAAAAGTGGCTAAAAACAGAATGGGTGCCATTTGAGATCCATTTCTTTCAATCTGCACTTTAAAGGAATGGAAAATGAAACCCCTATGTTCTTGAGGAGTAGCCATTAGAAAGAATGATACCTGTGACATCTGCATAAGCAGAGAACCACGTACCAGGAATTCATGTACCAGAATAAGAAACAGACACTACCTCAAAGTAGACAGTAAGGCACTACCTTAAAGGACTTCCCAGGGAGATCAATCTTTTAGAGTCCAGGAAG